AAAAAAAAAAAAAAAAAAAGTTTTAGGAAAATGTACTTTTAAGATTAACATTTTGAGAATTATTTTATTTATTTATCTATCTATTTTTTGAGACAGGGTCTTGCTCTGTCACCCAGGCTAGAGTCTCATGTCATCATGATAGCTAACTGCAACCTCAAACTCCTGAGCTCAAGCAGTCCTCTTGCTTCAGGCTCTCAAGTACTAGAACTATAGACATGGGCCACCATGCCCAGCTAATTTTTTGATTGTTTTGTGGAGATGGGGTCTTTGTATTGCCCAGGCTGGTCTCAGACTCCTGGCCTCAGGTGATCTTCCCGTCTTGACATCCCAAAGTGCTAGGATTGCAGGCATGCACCGCCAAACCAACATTTTGAGAATTAATCATAGAACCTAGACATGGTACAAATTTAATTTTCTCTATTTTTCTTAATATCTTTTACCAGTCTTGTTATTTTAAATTTTGCTATGTTCTTTCAATTAGTCAAATTACTGTATTACAAATTATTATTCTTACTAGATCTCAGTTCTTGGGCACATTTTCAGATTGCAAATGTATTTTCCTTTGTTTGAATAGTTGAATTTGAAACATATTAATAAGATAACTTTTAAGTAATGGTAGCAGTACAATAGAATAAGAGTGTGTCAACCAGCTTTCTCACAGTTCCAAGGATAATTTTGTCTATCTATCTGAGTGTTTTATAACAGCCTTTAAAGACACTGATGGTCTCTCATATAAGACTAATTTTTTAAAAAATAAGATATAAAATGTTTATTAAAAGCTTTTTGGTGTAACTTTTATTCAAGAGAATCTCCATCTTTGCAGAGTTCATTACCAAATTTTAAACAAAATGAGTTTTCTGTTGTTCGACAACATGAAGAATTTATCTGGCTTCATGATTCCTTTGTTGAAAATGAAGACTATGCAGGTTACATTGTAAGTATTAAGATTCCATTTCAATCTCAATTTCTAGGAGAGTTTTAGATACTGTATTGTTAATACATTTTGGAATCTTGTTGAGCATCTTTAGTGAACTTACGTGATTTTTAAAAAATTGCCAGTTACAAAACATGTTTGCCTGCCACCTTTTATCCTGAGTTATTTTGTTTTATGGGGACATGTTATACTTAAGAATTCTTAAATTCTTAAGTTTAAGAAATGGACTTGTCCTAGGGATTAATTAAGGGGATGTTACAAACTATACTGGTTTTGAACCCTTAGGTGGACCAATACTTAGAGTTGGAAGGTTCCTTAAGAGGTTATCTAATCTAAATATGCACTGGATGTTGCAGTCAAGAATAGATGGTCATCCTACCTCAGCTGTTGACCACATTCAGATTTCTGAAATTGATTGATTTATTGATTGATTGGCAGAGTCTCGCTCTGTTGCCCGGGCCAGAGTGCTGTGGCCTAGCTCACTGCAACCTCAAACTACTGGGCTAAAGTAATCCTCCTGCCTCAACCTCCTGAGTAGCTGGGACTATGGGCACGTGCCACCACAGCCAGCTAATTTTTTTTCTATTTTTTTAGTAGAAACAGGGTCTTGCTCTTGCTCAGGCTGGTCTCAAACTCCTGACCTCAAGCGATCCTCCCACCTTGGCCTCCCAGAGTGCTAGGATTACAGGTGTGAGCCATTACACCTGGACAGATTTCTGAAATTTAGTTCTTAATTTCTTCTTTTCTTATTCTGTTGCCATCTCCTTCCCTACCTTCTTGTCCGATGGTACTTTCTTACTACTTTCTCCTTCCATAGGCTAAACAATTCCCAAAGACTAAGACCATGTCTTAATTGTCAGTGATTGTGTGTTGAACTATACTTGATGCTCTCTGACCCTGTTGCCTTCCTTGATTTAACCCTTGTCTTGTAGTCATTCTTATTTTCTTTTCTTCCTCTTATCTTGTTCTCTTTAATTTTCCATCATTTTCTCCTTAACAGTTCTTACTTATAGGTGCTTCCTCCTAAGGCAATTTTTTCTTATATCCATTTCTTGAATGCTATATCTCTACTAGCCCTCACATTTTTATATAGGTAAGTGTTTGCTTACTTATTGCCTGACTGGATGAATAGAATGAAGTTAGTCATTAATCCATGTCTTGTTCTCTTGTTCTCAAAACAGTTCTTTCTGCTTCTGTTACACTCCTCCAATTTAGGACCCTTTTTAACATCCCTTGTTGGATCATATTGATAGTATTCATCAATTTTAAGAAAAATACAGTAGCATAAAGCTACTATAAATTCATTGATTTTTTAAAAATTTTTTTGAGACAGCATCTCACTCTGTCACTCACTGGAGTGCAGTGGTACAATCATAGCTCACTGCAGCCCCGAACCTCCTGGGCTCAAGCAGTCTTTCTGCTACAGCCTCACTGAGTAGCTGGGGTTACAGGCATGTGTCACCACACCTGGCTAATTTAAAAAATTTTTTTGTAGAGACAGGATTTTGCTATGTTGCCCAGGCTGGTCTTGAACTAGCCTCAACCAATCTTCCCACCTCAGCTTCCCAAATTACTGGAATTACAGGTGTGAGCCACCATGCCTGGCCCTAAATTCATTAATTTAAATTTAATTATATTTAATCCTACCATTTGTATACTTTTGAAAAATAATATGTATATTTGCTATACATATTCAGTCTATAATCAGAGCATAGTGTACATATGAATTTGATGACTCTAGGTTGCCATGTAGGAGTCTGCAGATTGAAGTTTGAGAACTACTGTTTGAATACTAGAAATTAGTGCTATGCTGTATTTCTTCTTTGGTGTAAAGGACCTCAAGGATCTTAATTTCTAGAACTAGTCAAGTTCTCTACTCTGAATTTGGGCGTTCCTGGTGCTCAGCTCATTCAGGATACCTTTAACTTTCCCAGACACAGTCTTTTGTGGTGATAGTAATACAACGCTTCGAGAAATGAAATAGTTCCTTAAAATTAGTGATTTGGTTCTGTTATAGATCCCACCAGCACCACCAAGACCTGATTTTGATGCTTCAAGGGAGAAACTACAGAAGCTTGGAGAAGGAGAAGGGTCGATGACAAAAGAAGAGTTTACAAAGATGAAACAGGAACTGGAAGCGTATGTGATTTTTTGTTGTTATTGTTGCTTTTGTTAATTGTGCTTATTTTAATGCTTTTTTTTTTTTTTTTTTTGGTGCTCTCTGATATCCCATCATTTTAATCATTTTGCCATAGGGACCCCTTCTGGAGGATACAGGTTTAGGTCACACAACCAGTGTTAATGATCATGATCAGAGCCTACAGGAAAATTATAGAATAATTATCTCCATTGTAAAATTATTTAAATTAATGTTTTAAATAGATTCTGAAAATTGAAAACAGGGGATCCAAAAACTTATTTAAAAAAATAGAAAGGGAACTTGATTTTTTAAAGTAGAATGTAAATTTTTTTTTTTTTTTTAATTTACAAGGCGTTAGTCATTACCAACCTAGTTCTCTTATTTTCAACATGTACATACTACTAAGACTTATATTTCTTATGGGAGAATGTGTTGAGCAACCCTTTGCATATATTGTTTTCTTTAAAACGTGTGTGTACACAGTATAAATTATCACAGTTTTTACAAAGGTTTAATACATTTCTTATAAGTATATGTGAAACTAATGAAAAACAGTTCTTAACTATTATGTAGTTACTTTGCTCCCATGTTCTTTTCCTTTTGGCCAGAAGCCACAAGCAGAGAAAAGAAGAGGAAATTATACACAGGTTGAGATCCCTAATCCAAAATGCTTGAGAATGTGTGTTTCAGATTTCAGATTTTTGTACTTAAACATTGGAAATAAATTTGGATTTGCTATATATCGTTTCTCTGTATTTTGAAAGTTGTACAAGGAAATAATTTTCCTTGCATTATCATCACTCCATCACTCTTTTTCTGGTCATTTCTCCCCTTCATGCATTTCCTTTTCTTCCATTTAGTTTCAGTTTTCAAATGTATATCCACACTGCTACTAGACTCCTCTTCAGAATACTAAACTCTTGAAAAGATAAATTAGCAAAGCAGGTCTTCTTTGTCAAAATATAAGGTGACAGATATTTTAAGAATTTTGTCAGTTCTAAGTGCAAGCAGTGGTCTGATAGCAAACAGATACATACTCAAAGATTTTAAGACTGAAAACTGGAAATTAGCAGAGCACATTAATACTGAAGAATCTGTGATTTTCCAGTGGCCCTGATCATGATTCTTTTGTGGTCTGGTTAGGGGTTGGATAACAGAGAACCTTGGGTTTATTCTACTGCTACCTCCATCCTCTGCATCCTTCTTTTTTGTCTTCACTGAATGACTACCCTCGCAGAGATCAAACTTCTCCCAACATTGGTCCTGCTGGTTTGCTGGTACGTAAAATTTATCCTTCTTGCACGTAGTTGAAGCAAGAATATCAAGCCTTTTCTTTGAGTGTTTTTGGTTTTTTTTCCCCAAACTGACACGTATTACCATATGATCGCTGTGATTCGCTGTTGGTAATAAAATATTTTAAACATTTCTTTGGGGTAATGGCAAAAATCAATCTACTCAGAGTGGATTTCTTTCTTGTGTGTTTGGGTCATTAGATGAAAATAATTATTAACATTGAAAATATTCTTACTGAGGTTTGGGTTTTGATTTTTTTTTGTACTAAGGTGTTTATATAGCGGTAATTATGTAGAAATTGAATCATTAAGGTTGTATCAAATGATTTGTAGTATACTTTCACTGGAGGTGAAAACGAACACCCTTTTAGTTACCTTTAACATCAATTTGCATAGTAAGAAAAGTTTACAAAACTTAAAAATATTAACATTTAGGTATAATAAACTTTATTAACTGGCATGAAGTCTTTGTCAGAGCTGGGTTTTATATATTTCATTAACAGTTCAACTAAAACCTTTGTTTACATGAATTATATCTTTGTATCTCTAATTTTGCATTTGGAATAATCCAAAGTGTATTTGCTGAAAAAAATATGTTGCAGATGCCTTTCTAGTTGATGGAGTTTTTTACCATTAATTTTGTGTGTTGTTTCTAGTGAATATTTGGCAATATTCAAGAAGACAGTTGCAATGCATGAAGTGTTCCTGTGTCGAGTGGCAGCGCATCCTATTTTGAGAAAAGATTTAAATTTCCATGTCTTCTTGGAATATAATCAAGATGTGAGTATTGATTTGATTAACACAGTGATCAGTGTTTCATTTTAGAGTCATTGGAAAAGACAGGAAGTAGATAGAAAAGGTTTAAAGCTTCTTTTAGAATGTTCATATTTTTTCAAGGCAGTTTCAAGTGACACTTTTTCAGTAGTAATACAGTATTTCAATCAAAGTTGAGTAGATTAATTGATGCAATGGTGGTAAATCATGTTAATTCTTGGGATATTGATGTTTCATCCTTAATTGTGAACTTCTCAAGAAATAGGGTTATCAGGCTGGGCGCGGTGGCTCACGCCTGTAATCCTAGCTCTCTGGGAGGCCAAAGCTGGAGGATCGTTTGAGCTCAGGAGTTTGAGACCAGCCTGAGCAAGAGCGAGACCCGTCTCTACTAAAAAAATAGAAAGAAATTAGCTGGACAACTAAAAATATATAGAAAAAATAAGCCGGGCATGGTGGCACATGCCTGTAGTCCCAGCTACTTGGGAGGCTGAGGCAGTAGGATTGCCTGAGCCCAGGAGTTTGAGGTTGCTGTGAGCTAGGCTGACGCCACGGCACTCTAGCCAGGGCAACAGAGTGAGACTCTGTCTCAAAAAAAAAAAACCAGAAAACAACCAAAAAAAGAAAGGGTTATCAAATTGATTAATGTGTCTTAAACTGAGTTTGAAATCTTCTGAAGCCTTATTGGAAAATTCTAGGGAGGTGCTTGACCTAAAGAATTCCTGATTACTTTGGGCAAATCATTGACTCTGCATCTGTTTAACTGACCTTCTTTAGTACTAATCACTCCTAATTTTCCTCCCTACCTCCGCCTTCCTACAAACTGTTACGAGACAGAGAGATGGAGGTGGTTGAGCTTTAAAGATTTCTTCATAGTGCTGGCAAAAATTTTTTAGTGGATAGCTGATACAGTTCTTGGAACCTATGTTTGGATGACAAACTATGTTAGTGTAAAACAAATGTAGCATAGTGGGTATTTGCTTACAAGTTATCATAAAGATCAAACAATTTTGTGTATATAAATTTATTTTTCTGGTTTAGTTTTAGTAGATATGATTATAAGTTGTCCCTAAGTCTAAACAGTAGAGGACACAATTTTTTTTTCTTCCTTTGACAACAGAGCATAGATACAATTTTTTTTGTAAAACAGTATGAAGTAACTGAAGATCATGGAAATATAGCACTTTTTAAGCACAGGTACTTTCATAGTGTACTTGTGATATGTGGTACTGGCATGTGGACATTTATAACCAGGAATCGTGAAGAACACTGGCTATATCATGAATTAATTAAAAAAACTGAAAAATGACTCATGATAGAGTAGCTAAAGAATACATGGAAAAACATATGATAGAGTGCAGTCATTACTTTTCATGTGTTTGTTTTTTGCTGGGCCTTATTTATACCTGGGCGAGAGCCATAGTAATAAGTTGGTGGAATAGAATAGATATGAAGTGAGGCATGGTAGTATCAGTGCAGGGTCACTTCAGCTAGAGTAACCTCACGCTTCAAGTACTCTATCCCATTATCACGGCCCTTAGTACTACCTGAAATTTAATGTTTGTTTTTTTAAATTAGTTTACATATTCATTGTCTATCTCCCCCCACTAAAATGTAAGGTCTGTGAGGGTATGACTTTAATTTTTCATCATTGTGTTTTCACTATTTTAGAGCAATACCTAGCATTTGAGATGTAAAGTAAATATTTGTTGAATTAATAAGTAAAAGGTTATTAAATATTTAGATCAGCTTAATAAGTAGCTTTCAGATATCTTAGGCTTTCCTAAATTTTATCCCAACAAAGTAGATCTACTTACTGTTCTTCCTCATAAACTAACATATGCTCAATAGAAATAAAGATGATGATGCATTATAATAACCATTTTAGTACCAGCAAATGGTGTGGAGAAAGCCTAAAAAGATGGTGCATAAATTTGGGTGTCTGGTGAGGGCCCTCTGCTTCATAAGTGGTATCTTCTTGCCACTTCTTCCTCACTTGGCAGAAGGAAGGGGCAAGAGGCTAACGAGCTCCCTTGGACCTCTTTTATAAGGGCACTAATCCCCTTTATTGATTGATTGAATGGGACAGAGTCTCACTCTGTCACCCGGGCTAGTGTGGCCTGGCGTCAGCCTAGCTCACTGCAACCTCAAATTCCTGGGCTTAAGCCATCCTCCTGTCTCAGCCTCCCGAGTAGCTGGGACTATAGGCGTGTACTACCATGCCCAGCTAATTTTTTCTATTTTTGGTACGGACGGGGGGTCTCACTCTTCCTCAGGCTTGTCTCGAACTCCTGACCTCAAGTGATCCTCCTGCTTCGGCCTCCCAGAGTGCTAGGATTACAGGCATGAGCCACTGTGCCCATCCGTTTTTGTTTTTTTTTGAGAGACAGGGCTTTGCTCTATCGCTCAGGCTGGAGTGCAGTGATCTTAGCTCACTGTAACCTTGAATTCCCCAGCTCAAGTGATCCTCCTAAGCCTCGTGAGTAACTAGGACTACATGTGCACCCCTAGCTCATTTTTTTTTATTTTAATTTTTTGTAGAGATGGGGTTTTGCTGTGTTGCCCAGGCTGGTCTCAAACTCTTGGCCTCAAATGATCTTCAAGGGAGAGCTACCACACCAGACCACTAATCCCATGTATGAAGGCTCCACTGCCATGACCTAATCACTTCCCAAAGGTCCCACCCCTTTTTTTTTTTTTTTGAAAGAGTCTCTGTGTTGCTCAGGCTGGAGTGCAGTGGCTATTCACAGGCATGATCATAGTGCACTGCAGCCTTGAACTCCTGGCACCAAGTAATCCTCCCACCTCAGCCTCCTGAGTAGCTGAGACTACAAGGACGAGCCACCATGCCCAGCTTACCTCTTAATACTAACCTTGGGGGTTAGTTTCGGTATTTGAATTTGGGGGGACACGTACATTCAGACCATAACAGGTAGTGATGGACATCTGTGAGTCATTTACATAAAGGTGGGCATTGCAGCCATGGCAATAGATAAGGGGAATTAGATGGGATGTTCCTTTATGGGACACCCTGATGCAGCAAGTGCTAAGAGTCTAAAGAGTTAGCTGCTTCTCAGTTTTGCCCTTGGATAACCATTTATGTCATTCACAGTCATCTTTTGTGTCCCTTATAAGTTTCTGACCCCAAAAACCAGACAAGAGATGGTATTTCTATTAGTTCCAAGTGAGGAATTTGTACAATATATTTTCAGAGTTATTGTAGAATCATTTGATGGTATTTTGTATCCCAGTAAATTTCACGTGTTTAAAGGAATTCCTGAATTAAAATTTCAATTATCTTTATATTGTGTAGCAGTGTTTGACAAAGTATGGTGAGAAGGCTGCTTGCAACGGAATTATCAGATATGCTTGTAAAATGTAAGATATCTAGGTCTTGTTGTAGACCAACTGAATCTGAACCTTTGGGAATGAGGCCTGAGTATCTGTATTATTACTAAAGGTCTCTTTTATGCCCTAAAGTTAGAAAATCACTGATACACATGTTGAAATTGCCACTTATATTAATTTTAAAAACTGGGATTTTTTTTTTTTTTTTTTTTTAAGACAGAACTTACTCTGTCACCCAGGCTCGAGTGCAGTGGTATTGTCAAGCTCACTGCAGTCTCAAATTCCTGGGCTCAAGTGATTCTCTTGACCTCAGCCTCCCATGTAGCTGGGACTACAGGCATGCACCACTACACCTGGCTAATTTTTTCTATTTTTTAGTAGAGGCAGGGTCTCGCACTTGCTCAGGCTGGTCTGGAACTCCTGACCACAAACGATCCCCCTGCCTCGGTCTCCCAGAGTCCTAGGACTACAGGCAAGAGCTACCATGCCTGGCCCCAAAACTGGAGTGCTTTTGAGATTGTCATTTAAATGTTAAAGAATAAAGGAGACACTTTTGTAACCTAAAAAAAAAAAAAAGCTAACTTAAATTACATTTCTTTCAGTTGAGTGTTCGAGGAAAAAATAAAAAAGAAAAGCTTGAAGATTTTTTTAAAAACATGGTTAAATCAGCAGATGGAGTAATTGTTTCAGGAGTAAAGGTAAGATTTTATTTGGTTAACAGTGGTATTAGTTGAGAATGTACTAGTTTTAAGAGGGAGATAAATTGAGATTTCAAGTGTGTAGAACTGGAGTAAAAGAGAAGTTTGAATGGTAGAATCCTCAGCCCTGGGAAACTATGCTCCCTTCCCTGGGTTCCTCTCTTTAGAGAACTCTCTTCTCCAAGGGGTGAGAAGTTTGCAGCCCAAGGGTATTCACTCACCTGGAGCCCATGCCCACTCCCTCCAAACCAGACCATATTCCAGGTATCTAGAACCCCATATTTCCCTGTCCAACTTCCAAGCCTTCCAAGTCCTGTGTGAGCATATTCCCTGAGTTAATGCTACTTGTGTGCATTCTGTAGGTAGGAGGGTGACCGTGGGGCAACTGGGATAGAGAGCAGAGACAGGAGAGAAGATCAGTTTGCAGAATGGAATATCCACTCACATGCACGTGAAATCCTCCCCTGGATGCAGGACAGACAGAGCTGCCTCTGTTTGCACACTTGTTCTTAGCTTTGCAAATATTAGGGTTTAGACTTGGAGTTAGAAGATCTCAGTTAAGGTTTTGGTGTTGTCTCATGGCTACATGATCTTGGGAAACATCACTTTCTTTTTCTGAACTTCAGTTTCTCCGTTTTCAAAATGGGGTTAATAATAACACCTAGCTCACAGGATTGTTGAAAAGATAAGATTGAATGAGATAGTATGTATGGAAAAGCTTAGAAAGCCAATTATTTACCTAAATAACACCTAAACTTTTCTTTTTTTAGATTATTTTTTTTATTTCTGCATATTATGGGAGTACAAATGTTTAAGTTACATTGCCCTTGCCCCCCCTCAGTCAGTGCTTCAAGCGTGCCCATCCCCCAGACGGTGCGCATCGCACTCATTATGTTTGTATATACCCATCTCCTCCTCCCCTCTCCTATCTGCCCAATGCCCGATAAATGTTATTCCTATATGTGCACTTAGGTGTTGATCAGTGAAACGAATTTGCTGGTGAGTACATGTGGTGCTTATTTTTCCATTCTTGGGATACTTCACTTAGAATGGTAAACTTTTCTTAATAATCTAAAAATGATAGAAGAATTCATTTATCTGAAGACTTGCCATTAAAATATGAGAAAAATACTAATATTATATTATCAAACAAATAATAAGATAAAGAATGCTGTTTTGTCATCATTGCCTGTTTTTATGGATACATCTATAATAAAACTTGACTGTAGAGTACTATTTATTCCATGTATACCCTGATTTTTCAGAGACAGGTCAGTTGATGCGTTGGCAATGCATGTGCTGTGGCTGCTTTTCCATAGGACTCAGCTTACTTCTATTTTGATGTTGCTTATGCATTAATATTAAACATTTTTCTTAGCCATTAAATGTAAGCCACCAAGTTGATTATGATTTTGATAATTTTATTAGTAAAATAATCACTTTTCTTTTTTTAATTTAAAGAAGTTTATTCTGAGCCAAATGTGTGTCACTGGCCCGGAACACCTGGCCTCAAAAGGTCCTGAGAAAATGTGCCCGTAAAGTAGTAACATTTTTAAACATTTATAATGTTTTTATTGGTAGCCCACATTCTCTTATTTAATCTTCACTATAATCCTGCAAGTTACTTTTATCCCCATTTTTACAGTTAAGACAACTGTTACATATGATTACAGAATTTAAATGACATTTTGTCAGTACTAACTCTTGCTGTTCTGTGGATGTGGGTCTCCAGTTACGTCATGTCAGCTGATGCTTTTTCAATGAATTGTTGCTAGTTTAGAAGGAGAAAAAGTACTATTAATTTTTTTTTAGTCCCAATACTGATAAAGGCAAATTATTTTTAATGTATTTCTAGTTTTGTCGCAAAAAAGGATTTAAGACAGAGTTTGATAATGTCGCTCTCAGCGAGTTTGTCTAGGTTCCCCAGAGCAGTCAGGGAGGGCCTAGTGACTAAGGCCAGGCAGCCTTCAGGAATGGCCCCCAGAATACATAATAAACCAAGAAAAATAGATTGTCACTTCTGTCTACCAGAATTTTTTTCTCAAAAAACAATTGATCACTCTCACTGGCAGTAATGTGTTTTTGAAGAGGCTGGATTGTAGAGACAGAGCACAAGTGGGAACATATTTCAGAATATAACATGTGAACATGGGGAGCTCTAAGCCTTCAGCTATAAAACCATAGAAGATTTCTTATTTAATAGATACAAATGCATGTCTATTAAAGTCTTAACTTGGTGAAGCCAATATAACATCTGATTATTAGAGCATAGCTGTGCTGTCTTACCGATGATCTTTTATATTTATAATAAAACAAAGTGATTTACATATTAAACTAAAGCAAATAAGTAAAAAAAAGTTCATATTTTCTTTTGATCCTTTAGGATGTAGATGATTTCTTTGAGCATGAACGAACATTCCTTTTAGAATATCATAACCGAGTTAAGGATGCATCTGCTAAATCTGATAGGATGACAAGATCCCACAAAAGTAAGATTTTTCTGTGGCTAAGGCTTACGTTTTTTAATGGGATAATTATAAAGTTGATATGTTATTTATAGTTTGAAAAAGTCTTGGTACAGAACAGTGGTTCTCAAGCTGTGATCTATGAAGCCTGTATCCCAAAGCCCTTTTAAAATGACTCTGCAAGGTCAAACCTGTTTTCATAATAATACTGTGCTACTTTTTGCCTTTTTCACCATTGTGGACATTTACCTTTACGATACAAAAGAAACGATGGCTAAAACTGCTGGTGCTAGGCTGAGTGTGGTGGCTCATGCCTGTAATCCTAGCACTTTTGGGAGGCCTGCTCGGAGGATCACTTGAGGCTGGGAGTTTGAAATCAGCCTGAGCAACATAGTGAGACCTCGTCTCCACAAAAAAACAGAAAATTTAGCCAGGCGTGGTGGCACACGCCTATAGTCCCAGCTTCTCGGGAGGTTGAGGCAGGAGGTTCACTTGAGCCCAGGAGTTTGAGGTTGCAGTGAGCTGTGATGACACCATTGCACTCTAGCCCAGACAACAGAGCAAGACCCTATCTCAAAGCAAAAAACTGCTGGTACCTTAGTACAAACCAAGGCAGTGGTACCAATCTGTGCTAATAATCCCTGTATTCTTTCCTGCCATGCAATTGTGATTTTTAAAAAAAAGTGACTTTCATTTAAGAATGTCCTTGAAGAAGCAGTAAAAATTAATTATAATCTCCATCCTTGGGTACACATTTTTTTATATTCTGAGTGATGAAATGGGAGGAATACATAAAGTACTTTGGCTACATACCACAGTATGATGGTTCTCTCTAGAAAAGCATTTTAGTGATTGAGTTGTAATCAGACTAGCTGCTTTTTTTGTAGAACACTACTTTTACTTGAATGAATGACAGACAAATTATGATTATTCTGATGTACATATTTGGCAGATATTTCTTCAAAAAATCAACTAAATGAGCCTGTTACTTCAAGAAAAACAAAGATGGTAAATGTTGCCAGTGATAAAAGTTAAGTTTTTAAGCAATAATTAGAATTTTGGAAAACTTATATCTGTCACCATGAGCTTGCTTCCCAATAATGAAAGACTTGTCTGATGAGATTGATGGTAATACTAGTGAATGTGATTTCTTTTTATATTGTATATTGAAGTGTGTCACCATTTGGAGTTCTGCATAATTCACTGGACCAATATTTTCTAAATGGCCGGTGCATGGTGCTACAAATTCATGTTTCTAAAAGATCCATTCAAAGTGCAAGATAAACCAATGGGTTTTTTGAACAGCTTTATTGAGTATAATTAATATTAATAGGCTGCAATAATCAAAGCATACGATTTCATAAGTTTTGACATATGTGTGAAATCCTCACCACAATCAAGATAATGAATATGCTCTTCACCCCCCAAAACTTGTGGCCCTTTGTAATCCCTGCCTCCCACCCCATCTCCAGGCAAGTACGGATCTGCTTGCTGTCACTGTAGTTTATATTTTCTAGAATTTTACATAAATTGGATCATACAGTATGTATTCTTTATTGTCTGGCTTTGAAACTCAACAAAACTATTTTAAGATTTCATCCAAGTTACGTTATCAATAGTTCATTCCTTTCATGAGTGGTGGTCTGTTGTATGGATATACCACAATTATTTATCCATTCACATATTGGTGGACATTTGGGTTGTTTCTAGCTTTGGTTATTACAAATAAAACTTACATGAGCCATCTGTATATAACTTTGTATGGACATGTGCTTTCATTTCTCTTGGGTAATACCTAGAAGTAGAATGGTTGGGTCATGTGGCGAATGTATATTTAACTTTTTAAGTAACTGACAAACTTTTTTCCCAAAGTGATTGTACCATTTTGCATTCCCGTGAACAGTGCATTAGAGTTCCAGTTGCTCCACATCCTTGCCAAGAAGGATAGTCAGTCTTTTTAATTTTAGCCATTCTAATAGCTTAGTAGTGGTAACTTGCTGTGGTTTTGATTAGTCAGTAGGGAATGACTAATGATGACATTTTGTTCTTATGTAAGTCTTCCAACTTCATTCTTTATCAAAGTTGTTTTGGCCCCTCTAGAGTCTTTATATTTTGATATGGGTTTTAGAATCAGCTTGTCACTTTCTAGAAAGTGGGATTTGGATTGGGATTGTATAGAATCTATAGATTAATTTGGGGAGAACTGACATCTTAACAACATTGATTCTTCTGATATAGTAATGTAGTATATCTCCATTTAGTTAGGTCTTTGTTAATTTCTCTCAGTATGGCCGGGCGCGGTGGCTCATGCCTATAATCCTAGCACTCTGGGAGACCAAGGTGGGAGGATTGCTTGAGGTCAGGAGGTCGTGAGGAGCTTGAGCAAGAGGAAGACCCCATTTCTACTAAAAATAGAAAAAATTAGTTGAGCAACTAAAAATAGAAACAAACAAAAAAAATTAGCCGGGCGTGGTGGCAAGCGCCTGTAGTCCCAGCTACTCGGGAGGCTGAGGCAGGAGGATCGCTTGAGCCCAGGAGTTTGAGGTTGCTGTGAGCTAGGCTGA